TTCCTACATCAATAATGAAGTTCGACAAACAAATTTGTAAATTAAAATCCATATTAATAAAAATGTAAAAAAATAAAATATGCAAGAAAATTTTAGCATATATTATGAAAAGAGGGGAGGAGTGGGGGAAGGAGGGGAGGGACCAAAAACGGCTATGCCTAGGGCCTACGAAAGGTATAATCCGGCTCTGCCTAAACTGAAAAAAGAAAAACTAAAAAAAAAAAGTTTAAGGATGTTCAAATTAAAGAGCATTTTAAATGAGGACTTTAAAAGTGTCATTTCTAAAACTTTTACAGCCAAGTACAGAAGTGCTTTTCGGTAGGCTACTTTAAAACATTTAGAAACGGGTATGTAACTGACATATTTTCAGGAGTTATTAGATCAGTCCACCTGTAAATATAAAAACTGCACCTTGTATCACATTTTTTTTTAAATAATAATAATAAATGAGAGGTGGCAGTGATTCTCCTTGACTGAAAACATGCAATCGTTGCAATAAAGTTTAAAAACACAGATCCACCACATAGATACATAGACTTGAAATATCAATATATAAACATAGATAAATAATTATTTTTTTTTATTAAAAAAAAGTTATAACAAAAACAAAATCCCTAAAATATAATGATTTTTCCATTTGCACAAGTGTGAGCAACACGTTTGGTTGCAGTGAATATATTTTGAAATATAACATAACAGTATATAATATATATTTATAAAATTATTAAATATAAACTAAATCAGATTTATAATAATATGCAGACATAAATTGATGGTATAAGTTGAAACAGTTATTCTGCTTTTCTGAACACAAGGCGATTCTGCACTCCTTACACTGCACCGTTGTTCTCTTTTGGACGTGATTGCGACTGCATAGAGTGCATCTTCTTCGTGTGCCTTTAATTGGCACGTGCAGTGCCATCATGGCATCCAGAGCCTTCTTGCTAATGGGACCTGCAGGATGCCAAAAAGTTCATGTCTTAGTTTTTATAAGGAAAATCAGTAAATAAATATATTTTTATTTTAAGTATAAAATCATGAATATTTGAAAATCTGTAAGTGGTTGTAAATTTATATAATATTATTATAACATTCATTTAATTCTAAGGGTATCAGTGTGAAATATTAATGATAATAAAGGTTATAGCCTCAATTTTACAGCTAACTAAAACCCAGATTGATTCATACTAGAATAAAGAATCAGCACACAAATGAATTCATTAAGTATTCTTCATGAGAAAAAGGCTTATTAATACAAAATAAAAGTTAGCCTGTTCAATCAATGATAAAATAGAATCTGATTAACTTCGACAAGCAGGGAGCTTTATGAAATGCATCAGTTGGAGACGGCCCCACATAATTTAAACTTAGGTATTCCTAAAATGTGCCACTTAACCATAGTTCAATTAATTCATATGTTGAGCAAATGGAAGGCCTTAAACAAATCGCTTAAAAACATTCTTTCCATTAAAAAAAAGCAAGATAATTAAGTTGTTGTGCACAAAAAAACTTCTATTCATGTTATATTTTTATATGGGGCATGTTTGTGTGTGGCTACATGTTTTTAAACTAGTATTTATTTCTTCATGCAAAAAATAAATTTTCAGAGACTTCTGCAATAGGCATAGTGAGCACCCCCATAAAACATGAACAACATTTGATTTAATGATTAGATCTTCAATTACTAAAGTGCAAATTATATTCTTTTAGTCAAATTTGAAAATTATTCTAAAAGCGCGAAAAGATCCAACTGTCAACCACTCTCCTAACAAAACTATTTAGACAGATTTTATCAAATTGTGACTAACTTCCATATTGCGAAGATGTCTGTGATTCAAATTGTGATCACCTTCCATATTTTAAGGACAGTGAAAGAGATAAAAACAACTTTAATCTCAATGTTACACACATTTTAAGTTTGTAAGTAAAATGAGAAAGCATAACATTTTAAGATATTTAAAAAAAAATTTCAATTATGAATTTTGTTTAGTTTTAAGATGGTAGAGAAATAATGTTCTCATATCTAATTCTGCAGCTTAATTCATAAGTTGCACTTATTAATTAGCATATTTAAAATGTGTCCACTCTAGCAACAAGATCACATCTTAATGTGTAAAAATGTCATCAATATATAAAGTGTGTTGACTTACTGTTGAAACAAATTGTAAATCAATATAGTTTTAATTCAACTCATACTTTTGAATACTTTATTGCTCTAATAATTTGAGCCAAGAAATAAAAAACATAGTTTATGTCAGTAAAATGTGCTACAAATAGTTAACATGCATATTAGCTAATTTTTGTAATACTTAGTAAATTTCTGTTCTGTTTTTCAGAATTTTAATTTTTCTTTCAAATAAGTTGTTTTGCATTGTATATATTTCTTATAAGTATCAAAGTTTTTTTTTATTTTTTTAATAAAAATTAATCTAAAATTTCAATTCATTTTTTATTTTGATAATACTTTTCGCCTGCCTTTGGTGTATTGATAAAAATGTACTAGAGAATTTTTCTTTCATAATTATAAAAACAAAAAATTTCAAGGGTAATGGAAAGGATGAAAGAAAATTAGAGGATAATATTGATCTTATTCATTCGAGACAGAAAATATAATTTATTTTCACCTTTTCTTTTTATTAAACTGTAATTTTATTAATTTAAAATTGTCTAATTTGTGTTAATCGTAGTAGTACCTTTTTAAACCAAAAACTTATTGTATGAATGTACTTTACAGAACCTATTACCCAGAATTTTCTAGAACAATATTGCTTCAGATAATTGATTTTTCCACTTTACTGATTTCTATTGATTTACAATTATTCTTTTCAAAATTATCCATGTATATTATTTAAATTGTGCCATTTTTTTTATTTCAAAGTAGTCTGCAAATTGTTTGGTTTTTCTGATATAAGACTCTAAAAACTGTGTTAAAAACAAAATATTGTCAATAAATTTATGCATATATATTCACTTTTAAAGCAAACTTAAACACTTTCAAAAATAAATATGAATATATCCAATAAAAGTAAATATAATATCCTTTGTAAAAATATAGCCAATAATACAAGAAATATTTCAATAATACAAATAACTTATTATTAACTTATAACTATTTCAACTTAAATATGAATAACCTAATAAAATATATTAATAAATAACGTAATTGACTTAAGCTTATTTATTTAGTAAACAAAATGTATTTTGTATCAAGAAATACCCTATTAAAAAATTTATTATCTAACATCTAACATTAAATAGTACAGGAATGAAAAACTTCTACATTAATACATATTAACAATATAAAATACAGTAATATTATTTCATAAATAGCAAGCATTTTTCTTAGATCAATAAAAAGGATTATAATACTCATAAAAAAATTCATTTCTTATAAAGAAATAACTTATTAAAAAAATGAATAACATTAATAAGTACAGGAATGAAAAACTTCTACACTAACACATGCATAACATAATAAATATAAAATACATATATTCATGTGATATATATCAAGTAATTTTCTGAAATTTTATTTTATTTAGATCAGTGAAGAGGATTATGATAATGAACTGCTAGATTTAATATTATTACGTAGCCTAACTACACAAATTATTTCAACTGGACTGTACAAGCCAGTGGTTGAATTTTTACTACATGGTCAAGACGATATTGTGCAAGACAACTACAAATCCATTGATACCATAGTGAAAGAACTCTGTGAAGCAGGTTACGAATCAGAAGCTGGAAGTCTATTGCTCATACACAAATCAATACATAGCAGCCTCAGCACTTACTCATCAGCGATGAGTGTGCTGCAAAGGTGGTCGTCCGTATCTAAGTCATAAATTTATTTATAAACTGTAAAGACAAAGAATATAGTTTTATAAAAAAAATATTTATATTTTTAATATGTATGTAAACAAGTTTTTTTTTTTAAATAAAAGTTTATGTTGACTATTTATTTATAAGTAGACATTAATTTATACAACAATTTTTCAATATTGAAACAAAACTATAAAATGAATAATTAGACTTCAATTCTAATAACCACTTTTCAAGAAAACTGTTTTCTGCTTTTACTATCAGTACACAAAATCAGAAAAAAATTTTAACTTGCTGATCTAAGCACTGGACTAATGATTGTTTCTCAACCCGATTTACACGAAAGACTGGTAAAATATTTAGATATTTTATTGCAGACTAATAAGGTTAGTAATTTGAATTATTGACTTAGACAAAATTAAGGCACTTGAACAATTTTTTTGATCAGTTTCTTTCGGATCATTCACATATTCCCTATAATGAAAGATATTTTGAGCCTAAACCTATTTGAATATCCAACTAAAATTTATATAAATAATTATTTCTAGTAACTGGAGGTTGAGAAACTATATATTAGACCCTGAACAATTTTTTCGATGCTTTTTGAGCAGATAGGAAAAGCAGAAAATGTTTTCCTTTATTCAGCTTTCTCGAAAAGTTATCAGGACTACAGCGATTTCTGCATGCAGTGATTCAATTATAGGTTTGAAATACATTTAACTGTTATGTATGAATTATCTTTTTATTTTAAGAACATCTATAATTTTTAAAATGCCACAGACATTTGATACTTAAAAAAGATACAAAGAGTTTTACACAAATAATTTTATTTAATTTATCATTTACAAACTTTTAAATTGAAATAGTAATTTCACAAATAAAGCTTTAAACCATAAAGACTTATACTTTACAATAATGCTCATTTTTATAAAAAAATAAATCTTTTATAATAAAATCAACAAATTCACAGAAAATGATACAACATTCGTGTTTAGTAACACAGCTAATAAATTTAGAGCAAGACAACTTTATCAAACAGAAGCTATTATTTTAAGGTTTACGCATAACAAATAATTCATGCAGTCAATATTTATGAAATGCAGCATTTTACAAGATCTTAATTACTAATCTGAAAAATAGTAAATAATAAAAAAATAGTTAGTTTAACAGTAATGGTGTCAACAAACATGAATTTTTAAAAAATGATTATGAATAAGTGCAATTTTAAAATAATTTCGCAGTAAAAAAAGTATTAGATGTAAAATCCAAAGTTAAAAATAATAGTTTTATCAGTGATTATGCCAATTTATATCAACTGCAAGACAAATAAATAATATAATAATGATAAAGTACAATTTTTACTAAGAAAAGTTACTAAATAATTTCGGAAACTTTTTTGGTCTAGATATGTTTCACTAATAAAAATTATAGATGCAAAGAGAAAATCCTAAAATATACTCCACAAAATTATCTCATAATAAATGAAACATAACACAAATGAAACCAAAAATAGTGAAAGCATAAAACTGACACAAATGAAACTAAAAATAATAAAAGCATAAAATTGACACAAATGAAACTAAAAATAATGAAACCATAAAATTGACACAAATGAAACTAAAAATAATGAAAGCATGAAATTGACACAATGTTGAAAATACCTTTGATGTTTCATTTTTTTGAACATCAAGGACAATTCAAGTAAATAAAGCTCGAGATTCCTGTATATAAAAATACGACATTTAAGCAACAATAATTAAATATAACATACACACTATAAATACTATTAGAAGTTTTTTTTCAATGAAATAATAATTCACAAGATCAAAAATAGCACTAAGCATAAACTAATGAAAACTAAAATGTTAGAGACATTTTTTTAATCTAAATTACGTACCCAAACAAAAAACATCACTAAAAGCTATAGACCTAAATACTTTAACATCATAATTGAAATGGTCTCCTAATAAAATTCCAAGACAAACCATACAAAATAATACTATACTTAATTGATTTCTTATTCAACCTTTTAGCGTCTAACCCAGAATATATTACCATATTAGCATACCTGCCAACATTGGAAAAATAAAATAATGGAGATTTTACTAGGGATATTTTTTAGGCTACGAGTAAAGTTTTGATACTTCATGTAACTCAAAAAAAGATATTCAAAATTGGGAATATTTGAGAATATGCGCGAAAACAGGAGATAGTTGTAAAATACAGGAGTGTTCGTTAAAAAACTGGAGACTTGGCAGATATGAACATGGTTACTTTCCTACAGAACAAACTAGTTTTCCCACTATTTTCTATGGAGAAAATGGTACGTAGATATTTCACGAGAACTTAACTAAAGGTTCAATACATTAGGAACATTTATGTTAAAATGTTCAATTATAATTTACATGAAACATTATAACATTTTATATGGGAATATAGATGGATTTAGCTGCTGAAAAAACATATTAAAAAATTGAAAGACAATACTTTTTACAATCTTAAATAGTTTAATTATAAATATAAAGCTTTTAAAGAAACCACACAAACTGGACATTTACGTAAAATTTTTAGCACAACAAAACATTTTGTATAAAGATAAAAATTTGGCGGAAAAAATATTGATGTTAATATAGAAAACAACATCATGTACTATCTACCAATAAAGTATATTTAAAAAAGGTGGAAAATTAACACTATTTTATACTCTTAAAAGAACTGCTATTTTATATATCCTGCTCCTATATATTATCCTAGCATTAAAGAACGAAAAAAAATCCATTGTCATACATAACATATTGTAGATAAAATAATGAAACAAAATTTGTTAAATCATATCATAAATATGCACATTTCATAATGAAATGGAACTGAATAAATGAGATAAATAAGAGCAAACAAATAAGAAATATCTACTTTATATATTTAAGAAGAAGAAAAGAATTTTTTTAGAATGTTGATAAAAAAGGTTTAGTTTTTTTTAATTATTATTATTGTTTTTCAAGTCATAAAATTTTTGAGCATTTCCTGTAGCCAACTTAACTATGAAAACTTAAATGTACTTTTAAAATAAGATCATAACCTATTAGTTATCGAAAATTCCTAATGTTAAAAAAAAGAAATCCTTAAATTAACTTATCTTAAAAGCCTAATAAAGTAAAGTTGTATTAATAAATGCATCATTAAATCATTATTTTTTTCTGTACAACTGAGTGCATGGCATGGAGCAGTATGCATATCTCTTTTCTTAAAATCGTAAGAAAATATTTCAGTATTCTCTTACATAAAAGCTGACAGATTTTTTTTCATTGCTAAACCTTATTATAAAAAGTTGACAGTTTAAAGCAAATTTTTCCATTCCCTCTTCCTCGAAGAAAAAAAAAACATCATTGTCTGCAAAACCGCTGTGTACAGTTTATTTAAAGTGCTATTGTTTCTTGCCCACTAAAATTTGCATTTGAATAAGATCTGTTTTCCGTGAGAAAGAATCTACACATTTGAAAATGACCATTTATGTTATCAAATCAACTCTATTTACATGTACTTATGAATATTCTTGATTTAATCTCTAAAAATAAAAAGTGTGAGAAGTTTAGGTATAAAATCAATTTTCTACTTTGAAAAATATTCAATGTTACAAGGTTTTAGTGATGACCTTTCAACATTGGAATTAAAATCAAATGACTATTTAATAATTGAGCAAAATATTTTTCAACACACCCAAGTTATTAAACAAGCTAGTGTACATTGTAATTACGAAATTAAATGTACACTAGCTGTCAATCTAACAGAATGTACCAAATGTAACAGAAAAGATAACGTTTATTCATAGTTTTTATACTTTTCTTGCACCAACCTAGAGATTATACAAATTTCGCAAAAAGAATTAAAAAACATAAGGCGAAAAGATAGTTTGCTTATTCATTGCCTTATTAACTTTTAAATAAGAAAATATAAAATTGTTATATATACTTATTACAAAAACAGACTAGTATAAAAATGCATATAGAATTCAAGGCATAGGAAAGGCACATAATATCTGTCATTCTGATTTTTTTTTTTTTTAGTTACCTGTGCATTTTCTTTGTATGTCCAAAATTGTTTTATGACTTAAGGAATAAACCATTTTATTCTTACAACTCAAATTCTATTTATAAGCATAACAAACGATCTTAACATCTTATTAAAAAAGATTAAAATAAACAATTTGTCTTTTTAAAAAAATAATAAAGTGATTAATTCATTCAATTTTAAGCACAGATTTTAACAGCGGAGATCCTGCCCTCTCTTCATGTAGTTAATATTTTAGACCCAGTTTGTCCCAGTATATGTTTTTTTTTTCTGACTTACTTAAAGTAGTACCCTGATAGAGAGCAAATTGAGGCAACATCTGCCCAATTATCTAGAAAGGATACCAAATTTTAATCTCATAACAATAGCTCTTATATGATAAACGATTATCTCAACCACGGTGCTTTGCATAAATTCATCAACGAATCTATCCATATTAATCAGGTAAAACTATCACCAAGAAAGTTACAAGTGAATAGCCTAAGACAACAGATAAAACTTTGAGCAGTCGATCCGGATCTCTTTCTGAGCTAAACTCTTTCGGAAGAACTTCAAAAAGTGTAACATAAAGAAAAGTGCCAGCTGCAAGACCTTGCAAAACACCACCAGTAACGAGCAGGGCCAGGCCTTTCACGTAATTCATCACTACGACACCAATCAAAATCCCAACAGGAGATGTCAGGGCAAAGACTATATTGCTCTTAATGACGCTAAACAGACTCATCTGACTGTGAGTGAGATTCAGACCAAGTGAAAATGCAATGATACATTTATGAATAGAAACAGCCATAAGAATTCTGAGCTCATTCGGAACTGATGACTGTAAGCCAATAGCCAAGCCTTCAAAGACAGAATGCAAGGAAAGAGCAAATAATAAAAGCAAAGATCGAAACTCAGATTGAGGCTGTTCTTGTGGGAAGGTTATGTTATATTCACTGAGAGGGTTGTTTCCTACGACGGCGCCGTAAGTTTGGGTTACGTAACGGGCACTGTCACCACCGTCCTCTAATGCTTCGTTCACAAGGAGGCTTGCGCTTTCTGAGCTCCTTCCAGCTCCTCTTTCATCAGAACTATTACTCAGCTTGAAGCTTTGGATTATCTAAATTGAAACAAAATAAAAATTCATGTTTGAATTCAAATATAATAAATTTATTGAGATTAGTTTCATAAAAACTAATTATTTTAGAAGTATGAAGATTGGTTGCATGCTTTTACAATAGAGAGGAAACAAAAAAGGAAGAGTTTTATACGATCAAGAATAAAAATTTATAACAGATATAAGAACTTGTAAATCATTAAAAATAAAACATATTTTCTCTATTTCAGATCCTAGTAATTTCAGATTCTGAAGAACATAAATTTCAACAAAAATCAATCTTTCTTCCTGAAAAAAAATAATATCCTTAACATTAATCTTATATGAAAATTATATTGATGCAGTTGTTAGTGTTTGAAAAACTTTATTTCAGTCTAAGGGCTTATTTTTTGAGCAGGCAATTTAACTAACCCAAAAGTGTTTTCAGCTCAGTAATGATTTTTGGCAGCCATGTACTCTTATGCTTAAAAATCTATCTCTGTTTCTTTAAATGCGGAGACTTATTAAATTTTTCACTTTTGCTTCTTTTTTAAAACAAATTTTCAAAATTGGAGAAAAACTCACAGCCTTAAAACTATAATTTTTTGCAGCTACATATTGTGTCTAAAAATAAAATGCAACTCACTTTCTCTTTTAAATATTAAATTAGTTTTGAAATAGTCAATCTTAAAGTTTTGTTTGACTTTTTATTAATAATTTTTCAAAATTGAAGAAAACTTCACAGCCCTAAGCTATAATTTTTGGCAGCATCTTCAGATAATTCTTGTGTCTGAAAATAAAATACCACTCACTTTCAAATTAGTTTTGAAATAGTAAATCTTCAAGTTTTGTTTGACTTTCTTCACTGAAATTCATTTGACAAAATATTTACAGAAAAGTTAACAAGGCAGAAAAATCTTGGAGAACAGAAAGGAGCAAAGTTGGGAGGCTTTCTAATCTTAGATAGAACCAGATCAAAAACTTAAAAAATTACATTTATGAATTGGTGTATTGTTTTTAAATAGCACACTACAAAGAGGGCTCTAAATGTTAAATACCACTTATCTCATATAATTTAATGCATGTTGAAAAAAAATGTCTAAAAAAAAAGATTATTTATTAAACATATAACTACTATAATTTCAATCTAGATCAACAGATTACGCCAACGCAAGATCAGATATAAATAAATAAGACAGATCTATTAGTTACGTATAAAAGGACATTGTAGTAATAGAAAAAGGGTTTAAACATTCTGGTAATTATTTATGCCACCATTCTCAAAGATAAATAGAGGTAAAATGAGGGTTTTAATTTCAAAAAAAATTTAAAATACCACTTATTTTATATAATTTAACGTATATTGTAAAGATTATTTATTGTACGAAAAATATAATTTCAAACTAGATCAATAGATTATGCCAACACAAGATCAGATATAACTAAACAAGATCACTCTATTAGTTAAATTTAAAAGGACATTGTAGTAAGAGAAAAAAGGTTTAAGCATTCGGATAACTACTTATGCCATCATTCTCAAACATAAATTGAGGTAATATGAGAGTTTTAATAAGAAATGCATATTCCTCAAAATCTTCTTCCATTTTATTGTATTAAAAATTTTGATTCTTTTTAAAATTAATCTCTTTTGTTCTTACTTTATGCAAATGTTATAGTAATTTGTTTTCACGATTTTGAGAAATTTACGAGGGAAAAAAACCTTGAGTATTAATTATTGCAATTCCTTTAACAGTTAATGTGATAGAGTTGGTGTGTCACAGACAAGGTTGGGTTTTTGACATCAAAAACTGGTTTTGGGCATGCCATACCAAAAACCTGTCAAAAACTTGGAGATAGTTTCTTTTTTGTAATTGAGGACATTTTATTAGATATAAAAATTATGCACAATACTTTTATCATAAACTACTATAATTTTGATTTATAACGTATATATTTTATAAAAAAATGTAACCGAAATTTTGGAAATTATTAATTGGTTTTTTAAAAACATTGTACTCTTAATATTTTAAGATCAATATCATTTGCTATAACCATTCAGTATTTAGTACAGATAATAACTATGAGTTGTTAATTATTATCAATTTAAATACTGATTTTAATTCTTTTACGCCATAATTTAGGCAGATTTTTTATATTCAGTTAAAATAAAGTGTTCAACAATAATTGTCGGATCTCAACTTATAAAGTTTCTTTTTGATTCTCAATGTTTGTTGTTATTACTTACGTGCAGGTGAGCAGAATATGTTTTATTATGAGAGCTAGGTTTTGGGGAAAATTCAGGCACCCATGGTAAAATTTCAGAATAAATATTTTACAAAATTTTTAAATGTTAAAAAATGTGTCACTTCACAAAATTACTTTTTGCTAATAAAACATTAAATATCATTTTGCGTATTTATTACTAGTTTGAACTCCGTAAGTTTATGAGAAGGACCATAAATTTCAATTTAATAAATTATTATTATTTCAATAATATTATATTTTGATTTCTATTATTTTTAACAAGTATGCTCTTTTATTCAAATATTGTGTAAAATTAAATGAATTTTTTTCTGTACATATAAACTATACTTCCCAAAATTATTTTTAAAAAAAAGAGTTATTGTACTAATAAAAAAAAATAAGAAATAAAAAAAAAACTTTACAATTTTGATCTCAATAAAACTTTGTTTTTAGTAAATATTAGAGGCTCTGAGAATTTTCTGCACACCAGCATATATGCACATGAATATTTCCAATAAATTATGACAACAATATATTCCCTAATAACTGAACTAATTATAAGATAAGAAAAATATAAATATTTAATTAAATGAGTTAATAATTTTTTCATTCAATCAATTCACGACTTTAATTTTAAGTTATTATCAATATTTAGTACAATTATTAGATTAAATATCCTAATTATATGTTATTTTAATATGTTATATTAGTTTTAGAACGTCTACATTAAATGCAGCACAGTATCAATCGAAAAAAGAGTTGTAAATGTCAGTCTTTATCATACAAAACTGAAAATGAACTTGAAGCACAGACAGCCAACGGACTACTTTTTTGTAATTACATGTTTCAGGGAAAGGAGTTAAAATGGAAATTGATTTTACATATAATTAATAAGATGTTGCTTAAGTGTTTTTCTATATGATGATTGGTTTTGTATTTTTATTTTCAATAATTAACACATTAGAAAAAGTTACAGTTTCGCACATTTTTATTTATTATTATTTAATATTTTCCACACCAAAATTCGGGTTTTTGACAATTGTCAAAAGCTTACCAATATTATATATATATATTATATATATTACAGTCGAGGAAACTTGCCTGATTTCTGTTAGTAAAGGAAGAGGGTGAAAATAATTTATTTGTTTAAAGTGATATTTTAGGGAGTTTTTCAGTGTTCTCCCTAAGCGTTTTTTGAAGGGCTGCCAAACCTCTTTGCCCTTTTTTTAAAAATAAGTTGCCCTCACTTAAAAGCACTGCCTTTCTTTCATATTCGATTTTGAAAAAAATTAATTAACTGTTTAAACAATAATTACGCACAGGTAAAATTTTCATTGTCATGCTGAAATATCCATAGCAAATTTCCTAGCATTTAAAAACTAAATTAATATCTTATTTAATTATTTTCTTAGTTAATACAAAGCATTAACATAATTGGTAATCTTTTAATACCACAACCTTCAATTGATTGTAGAATAAACTCTATTTTCTGAGATTCCCTCTACATCTTCATAACACATTAGCATAGAATTCGAAAACTGTTATATGGTTTCTAATGTTTTGTATTCATTATTATTTCCTACAATTAATTAACTGCCAACACATTTGAATGTGTAATGCTTAGAAAAAGAGCCTTGGTAGTAAATTAAATCACTTAGCAGTCAATCATGGATTCCTTAACTGTCTGTGGCGAAAACTATTTTAACGTATACATGAAACTCACATTAATGATTTCTTGGTGTACGGAGGTGACCTTTGAGGCTCAGACCGGCTGTCACACACTCCGGGCTATTTTAAAAATTTATTAATTTTAATTAACTCATACATACATTAGTATGCGTTGCATCGCAGAAGATTATAGTTTTGGATTGTTGTTGCATAGTTTTGTTGTATGTTGCATCTGATTTGATAGGTAAGAAAACATTGTTAATTTCTTCAAAGCGAAACAAGGAATGATTATAGTGTTGGTTAAGTGTAATTTGCATAAGAGGCTTCTTTAGGTATCTTGTTTTTACAGATCATGAGGTATTCCTTGACATTCTACTTTAATATGATTTTATTTTTTTAAGGTTTTTTTTTCACTCTAATTTCTGTATCTAAATAAAAACAAAACAACTTAATTTTTTTTCAATTTCATGGTAACTTCATGTTCCAATGCTTAATATCACATTGCTATTGAAATATAATCTGTTAGGTTAAAAAAATATACATACATCTACTTAATTTTTATTTCAATTTTGTTTTATAGGTCATTTTAACATTATTAATGTAACAAATTAAAATTTTGAGTTTAATATTATCAAGAATTGCAATGATAGTACAATATGTAAAATAATTTTGATGTTATGCTGTTTGCTATAAGTTGATGTACTCAGGGGTCAGTCCAGACATTTTGTGAGATTGTGAAAAAATTACTCACATTCTTTCAGCCAGGGTCCTGCTTTTATGAACTTGTGCAAATAGGGTCCGGTTATTGCAAAAAAAAAATTTTCAATGAGTTTTTAAATTGCAAATAGATACAAGATTATGCTCAGCACTGTAAAATTATAATTAAAAAAACAAAAATTTCAAAAATAAACGGCAATTGCTGCTTCTAAATTAGAGATGCAACATACACATTTTTGGTATTTAGCCTATACTGCTGAAAGCAGAATATTCATTTCGGACGAATAATAGAAGAATCGTCTGACGAAGACAAAACTTCATTCGTATACATCCATCTTTCTTGCTTTCTGCCCTGGGAAGGGTTTATTCAATTAACAAAACAATAATGAAGAAAA